GAGGAAGAAGAGGAAGAGGAGGAGGAGGAAGATGAATAAAAACTCTTGTCTCCTTGTGAATACCTTAGAGTAGGAGAGCGCCGTGATTGACACATCTCTTATTTGAGTTGTGTCTGTTGCCCTTGTTAGGTTTAATTACAAGATTTGATCACGATCATATTGTAGTTTCTCAAAGTGTCAGTGGTTTACATGAAGTGGCCATGGGTGTCCGGAGCGCCCTGAAACTGTATCAAAGTTGTACATAGCTCCAAACATTTTTAAAATGAAAAGGCACTCTCGTGTTCTCCTCACTCTGTGCACTTTGCTGTTGATGTGACAAGGCATTTGAAGATGTTTCTGGCATTTTGTTTTCAACTCGTAAGGTAGTGTTAACTATATGGTTGGTTATTGGCTAGAAACCCTGAGTTGTCAGGTGTACATATCTATAGTTTGTAAAGAGAACAAAACAACCCAAACAGATTCCTGATGCTCCTTGTTTGGTGTGAAGGCTGTGAGGGGAAGATGCCTTTTGGAGGGGGCCGTAGCTCAGGGCGTGCACTGTGAGGCTGGACCTGTTGATACTGCGGTGGGGCATCCATTTAGCTTCAGGTTGTCTTGTTTTTGTATATAGTGACATAGCATTCTGCTGACATTCTTAGTTGTGGAAAAGGGGGGAGGGGTCAGCTGGCATGAGAAGTGTTTGGATTTTTTTCTTTAGTTAAGTGCTGTAGATTTTAAACTCTTTTTAAACAAACTGTAGAACTCATCATCTTGTCAGCAAAGCAAGGAACTACTGCATCAATGAAAGTTCAAGAACCCTCTGTACCTAAATGCAATTTGCAACATTCTGTTATTTTTTGTATGTTTAGAATGCTGAAATGTTTTTGAAGTTAAATAAACAGTATTACATTTTTAAAACTGTTCTGTGTTACAACAGCCTAAATTTCTGACTCACCAGTCTTAGTGAAGCCACTTGATTTCTTCTGCTTCTAAAACTGCTAAGGTTTCTTCCAGCTAAGGACAGATGAAGGAGGGTGGTTGTTACTTGAAGTCCCTTCATGATTTGTGTCTGGCATTAGGGCGAAGCACTGATCATGCCATAGATAAGGTTTAGCAGCCTACAGAGATACAGGAAAGCAAGCCCTTAGGAAAAAAGCTGGTCTAGTCAGGTCCTGCCTCTGCCTGCCAGTATGACTGTGGGGCGTAAGATACCTCAACCCTGTTTCACCTTTACTCCAGCATGTGTATTGGGGCAGTTACTGGGCTCACAATCAGAAGTCCTAAGTTGCTGCTTTTGTTTCCTGGTCCCCATGAGGTGGTGTGGGTTGGAATGGCAAGAGTAGAAGATATATATCCAAAAAATCAGAACCCTAGGGGAGATTGCAGATTCTACCTTAGGTCTGCATTTGAAGGCTGACCTGTTGATGTTTACTACAGTATCATGGAGGACTGGGTTAGTTACAGAGTTCGTATTAATACTTGAATATGTATGTTTAAAAGGAGGAGGAATTTGATAATGGTTTAGTGGCATTTTTTAAACAGCAGCTTTTAGCCTGGGATATTCAGAACATGCATGTCTAGAGATGTCCTCTCCATGTTCTCTAGTCTGAGATTAATAAGTCATAGTCTGGTCATAGCCCAGTCTCTACACACAAACATTCCCTCACATCAGAACAATTTGTCCTTTCTCCAATTCTTCTCATTAAAAACCCTTGATTATGAGGTTTGTCCAGAGGCACTTGCTTCAACCATGTCTATGTCACTCAACATTCTAACCTGTGGCTGCTGCTGCTGCCCAATACACAGTGTACAAGCCAAGGATAATGAACCATGGCCAACCTCATTAAATAAGGAAGAGAAGCTCAACCCACCCACAGATGATTTCCTTGCTAAGTGGTGCTCACTCAGTCTGCTTGAACTATGTAGCACCCATGGAAGGCAACTAGGATATTTCTCTTAGTCTCTTCCAGTAGCTACATAGAAATGGCAAGGTATTTAGTTAAACATTTCTGAGATTCAGATAGTTGGACAGAAACTTTGGTTGAGGCTTGCTTGGTCTGTCAGCTGCTTGCAACAAGATGTAGTGAAGTGTTTATGGTATGGCAAGATGCTTAGATGCATGGTCCTCTGAAGCTTCTGAAATGCTATAATGTGCTTTAAGCTTAGCCTAGTTTCTGGACAACAGTGCATTCTTGCAATCCCAAATTGTTAACACTTTTTAATTAAAAGGGCAGTACCTGCTTCCTTGAAGGATCTCTCCTGCAACACCACCCTGTAAGGTAAGATGACATTTCATCCTTTGGAAAGAACTTGGCTATAACGTAGTAGACATTGTCTATTGTGTGTGTGATCTGGTCACAAATAATGGTGGATGCATTCATTTTCTGAAATAAAATATCTTAATCAGTTTTTTTTCCCAAAAGTAATCACTGGGCTATCTGTAGTCTGTTTCTGGTACTGAGGTTTTGGATGTAAACACATACCAACCTCAGTAACCATTGATCTGAGCTAACATTTGATAGAGTGACACTATCACAAAGGTTCTAAAGTCCCTCTGTTAATCTTTTAGCCAGAGGAATAGAGGGGTTTGGTTCTGAAACCTTGTGCCAGGATACCCATATAATTTGAAGGATGTTGATGGACTGCTCCTTGATAAAGTAGCTAGGTGCTTAGAATCCACTGTCTTGTCAATCAGGACTTTTTTCCCCCTGACAAAGTCTTACTCTGTTGCCCAGGCCAGACTTGAACTCATGGTGATCTTTCTACCTTGGTTTTCCTAATGCTGGGGTTTTATGTGTGGGGAAATGAGATAAATAAATCTACATAGCATGTGCCACCATGCCCAGCTGGAGCTTCATTTTTTTAAAGCCAAACAATTTTTTTGTGTTTTAATGAATACTATACAGAGAATGATCCTTGATAGCTATACTTTTGCTTTTGAATGAGTAAGTTTATTAGTCATATAATGAGCAAAAGTAAAGGAACAGATAGCATGTAACAGATAGCAAAACATCAAATCAGGTGCTTATGATCTTCGATCTTCAGCAGACTCACTGGGGAAGGGCTCCACCTGTGTCTAGAGAGCCACCTTAAGTTTCTGATTGAGAGTCCCACAGCATTCTCTATTTGTTTGTACCACTGGAGGATTTTGTTTTTTGTTTGTTTTTTAACCATGTGATAAACAACACCTGTTGACAATGGTTTACCTTTTAGCTGTTCTCAAGGATGCAATGTTGTTAATACCCTTTCTCCTTGTTACAAAGACAGGGTGTCAGTGTGCCCCAGGACAGGGAGTTTTGAAAGACACTCAAACCAGACTTGAATTTGAGGCAAGAGGGCCTCTTATTCTCAGTCAGCTCTCAATAAGCACAAAGAGCACATGTTAATTTATCATTATAACTTACATTCTAAATACCAGCAGGGAAGTGAAGAAAATCAACCTATAGAATAAGAGAAAATATTTGCAAAACGTGTATATAGTGTGGTGTCCACAGAGAACTATTACAAGTCAGCAATAAAGCTAGGTATAGTAATGCCTGCCTATAATTCCAGAAGTTGGGAGAGAGTCTCAAGTTCAAGGCTAGCCTGGGCTATATACTGTAAGCCTGTCAAAAAAATAATAAATGTTGTAACACATGAAATTCAGAGAACTATTAAGTAAAAAAAAAAAATGTTAAGGATATCACAGGGACTGAGGATAGAGCTCAGTAGGAAAGTGTCTGTGAAAGCCTGAGGACTCAAGTTCAACACTCAGAACACACACATAAAGCCAGAGGGTCAAAGGAGATGACTAAGCAGGTTAAGAGCACTGGTGCTTTTCTAGAGGATAGAGGTTCAATTCCCAGCACCTACATGGTGGCTCACAATTGTCTGTAACTCCAGTTCTAGTGCCTTCTTTTGGCCTCCAACAGACACTGCATATATGTGGTACTCAGACTTTCATGTAGGCAAAGCATTCATGCACGTATAAACAAATAAATAAGTAGATGTGGTGGCACATGCTTGTGATCCTGGCACTAGGGAGATGGAAATAGGCAGTTCCCTGGGGCTCATTGGCCAGCCTAACCTACTTGGTGAGCCCTTGGCCCTAGTGAGAGACCCTCTTAGAAAATAAGATGGGAGGTGGTGATGCACACACCTTTGATCTCAGCACTTGGGAAGTGGAGGCAGGTGGATCTCTGAGTTTGAGGCCAGCCTGGTCTACAGTGTGAGTGCCAGGAGAGCTAGGGCTACACAGAGAAACCCTGTACTGAAAAACCAAAAGAAGAAAGAAAAGGAAAGGAAAAAAAAAGATGGACCAGGCCCAAGGAGGAGTGACTCCTGAGATTGTCATCTGATCCTCTGTCTTAGTTTGTTTTCTGTTGTGATAAAACAGTGACCAAAGCCACTCAGAGAAGAAGTATTTATTTCAGTTTATAGGTTAGAGTCCACTGTCCAGGGAAGTCAATGCAGGAACTCAAACAGGTAGGAACTTGGAGGTAGAAGCTAAAAGAGAGCCATGTTGTCACTAACTCAAGGACACCTGTAGTCCATGTTTAGTGCAACATTATTCATAGTAGCCAAGTTATGAAAATAATGTATGTAGCTGATTCGTTTTTCTGTTTAGCCACGTGGCTAGGTACCTTTTCTCAGTTCTGCCTTGTCATCTTGCTTCCTCTATGTCTGGCTGGTAACTCCTCATTCAGCTTTCCTGTTCCCAGAATTCTCCTTGTCTGTTTATCCTGCCTATACTTCTTGCCTGGCTACTGGCCAATCAGCATTTTATTTATCAACCAATGGGAGCAACACATTCACAGCATGCAGAACACCATCACCCATTAAATGTAAATAAGCATTCATCAGTGATGAACTAGTGATACCCAGAAAGAGATTGCTGAGTCATATCCTGGTTCTGTTTGTAGAAGTGATTGTTTTGGTTAATTGCATCTTGATGAGAGTATATTTTAGGTGCTCTTGACATACACACACAGATACACACACACACACACACACATACACACACACACACACATGCGATGATATATATACTAATTGGCTTGACTATGGTAACCCATTCATTATGCATATGGATATCAAAATAGCAATGTCTGGGGTAGAGTTTAGTGGTAGACCACTTACCTAGTACGAGCAAAGCCCTGGTTGTATACCCAGAACCACAAAAGCAATAAC